GAAAGATGGACAGAATAGTAGGATAGCATCAGACAGGTATGGCAGGTTCACTGGTATGGGTGTCATGCAGTCTTACAGGGTTGCACATTCAGTAGGCCCCAGTTTGAAGATTAATTGCCTTGTGGTCACTTTAAATTCTCAATAACTCTATGCTTGCATTTGTGTTGTGTAAGTGTACTTTGAGGGTGCAGTTGAGCCTTTAATAGTGTTTGGAGGCTTCAGCATCTTTGACCTCACCTTTCTGGGCTCCTTCATCTTCCCTACTTACTCTCCACTCACTGGAGCCCAGCTGGAGAGCTCAGATGGAGTGCAGCATGCATGCCTCAATTCATCTTGAAGTAGAGAGTCATGGTGGTCATTTCAAACAAACCTGCATTTCATGTATGACCGGTAGGAATGTCCCTCATCCATCCTAGATCCACACACCTATGGTATCCTTATAAATTTTTCAGTATCCTTACCTACTGATCAACCACTGTGGTTTCAGAAGATAGGCCTGTGGAAAGAAGGGGAGATGTCTGGCTGAAGTCCTCTGTCTTTAGATAGGGCACAGCCTTTGCATCCTGCATCTGGTAGGGAAGGAGGTGCTATCTCAGAGACCAGTGCTAATGCAGTAGGTCCTTGGGCCCTAAATGCTTTCCTCTGGAAACTTCCTTTGTTGAAAAGGGATATCAACTTAAGTAAATAGTAATCTAAAAACAAGTAACAGTTTGAGAGAAACCAAGAAAGAAAGGTAGAAAAAATGGCATTTGGTACCTTTGACAGCTCTTAGTACACAGAAAAATAAGTTCTGCATTTTCATTTTCTGCTGAATCCCACTAATTATGTAGCCAGTCTGATGTAGCCAGGGACAGATTCCTTAGGGTCTTTTGATTTTTGCTATTAAGGGTATTTCCTGCAAGATTTTGAGAGCAGAGAAATGGCATAGTCTGTTTTACATAATAGATGGATACTGCTGTAGTCTTCAGGAAAGGTGTTTATCTGAAAAATTTTCAAGATGCAATCTCAGGTAGAAGGGAGATGTCAGAAGCTCAGAACAGATAACAGTGGAGTTAGTGAGAGGCTGTAAGATTTGAGCTGGAGGAATTTTGAGGTATAGTTGAGGTAATCTGCTGGTAGATTGAATTACCCTAAGGGTTACATAGGCACATGCAATTTTCAAAACTCAACGAGTTATACAGCTATGATCAATTTCCTATACCATATGGAAATCATACATCAAGAAAAATTAAAAAGTGTTTTGCAGAGCAATTTTATAGTATGCCCTTATTTGCAAAGAAAATGACACATGGATATGAAATAATAATTTTTGGAAGGGTACACAATATAAAAACAACAATGGTAACTTCCATAGGGGCTGAGTTAGGAATTGAAAAGACAAAAGATAATTGTTCTCTTAAGACATATTTATAATTTTCTAGTAATGAAAATGTTACCAGGTGAACTATCAAATATATCTTAAATTGGGTCATATGTCTGATATAGATTTTGAATATTTCTACTATTCAATGTTAAGAAGAGAATAAAATATTTTCAAGTACTTTCCATGGCAAGAAATAATGTCTCCCCTTGGGATAACACCAGGTATTAGCAGTAATCTCTGTTCTAAATCCATGAAATTTATAACATCTACTTTTGACAAGAACGAGAAAAGAATGCTTACTTTTTACATGACACTTTTGAAAAAACAAAGCAAAGAGGCTTTAATCAAGTGTAACATGTCAGGAGAATCAGAAAGTCATCCTCTATCTTTGGTCCAAATTAGTAGAGAACCAAAAAAAAAAAAATCACACACACACCACAATTTCCCAAGACTAATAGCAAAAGTTCAGGAAAAGTATAACAGGGACCAATTACCACTGAAGAAAGAGAACTACCTGACTTCTGTTAACAACGCAGACAGCGTGTGCTGGAGCAGAAAATTAACAGCACCGTGTGCCGCTGAGTTTAACTACCTTCCCTTCCCTCTGGACTCCCTGCAGCAGTGTCCCTGCATTCTTCCCTCACTCTCAGGTGATAGCTCTGACTATTCTCTACCACCATCATCACATTTTAAAACTATGAAGCAAATTATTCTATGTTCTTGCCTCAATCTTTGTCAAACTGTCAACATGGTCAGCAGTTGACCTGGCCCACATATATCTCTTTACTTTCATTTTATGTCAGTCTTTTTAGGATCAGCCAAGTACATGGACCCTACTGGTGTTTGTCTTTCCTCTGGGTCTTTGTAAATAGTGGTTCCTCTGCATCTGCTGCCCTTCTTTTACCATGTTTTGCCTGTCTGTCTTAGTCTGTCTTGGCTACTGCAACAAAAATACCATGGACCAAGTGGCATGTAAATAACAGAAAAGTATTTCCCTTACTTCTAAAGTCTAGGAAGTCAAAGATCAAGTTTCTGTCAGTTGCCTGGTAAGGGTTTGTTTCTCGATCATAGCTAGCCAAGTTCTCACTGTGTCCTTGGATTTCTTTTATAAGGACATTAATTTCATGCTTGAGGACTCTACCTTTACATTCTAATCACTCCTTAAAATGGCTCAACCTCTTGTATCATCTTGATGGTCATTATTTTAACATATGAACCTTAGGGAAAAACAAACAGTTCATAGCTAGAGCCTAGTCATGTTTGAGAACTAAATAAATGTTACTTTTTAGAGAGGCCTTCCATAAATTTCTAATCTAAGCTAGTAGATGCTGTTATTTTTTTTTCTTCTAGCAGCCTTTACATTTATATACTTATACTTACTGTAATTTAAAATAGTTTAATTGTTTCCTTAACTTCTGCTTCCCTGTAGACGCTGTTGGCATTCTCAGAACAGGAAGTATGTCTGTTTCATTCACCACTGTTTGTCCCACACCTGGCTTAGTGCCTGGCATGGAGAAGCTCAGTTAGTTGTGAAATCAAATGTAACCACTACCAGCATCCTCTTTCCTTAACATTCCCCCTCATGGGGATCAGCATTTTCCAGTGTGCACTGTCAGTGAGACTCACATAACTAATTCTACTTTGAGCAATCCCAACTAAAAAGTACAAAGAAATCAATGAAATATTTTATAGGAATATATGTTTGTACAAGGAAAATATAAAAATATTGCTACATAAAATCTGATCATTATTAATGAAATAATTCACATATTTGTTTTATATCAGGTCTTCAAAATTCTATGTGTGGTTTACACTTGAAGAACACCTCAATTTGAATGTAGAAATTTACCTCCTTAGTGGCTGTCACGTTGAACAGAGCCATAGTCAGACTCTTTCACCTAAAGATTGTGAACGGTCATTGTTGGACAGTTCCTTTCCTCGGGATGGGCGCCTCCCTCCTGACTGCAGCTCCCAGCACCCCGTTTTTCTCATGTGCAGCTCACTGGAGAATTACTGGTCATCCCCTGGGCTTCAGAAAAAGGGAGCTGTTAGGAAAAGGCAATTGTCTTTTCCTTCTGTCTTCCCAGTGTATGACTGTGTTAGTCCATAAAGAGCATTCACCTTTAATGGGGAGAGAGAAAACTAATTCTTGAAAAGAACATTATATTTAAAAATGGTGATTGCATATTGTACTTGATTATACTTGATAATAAAAATTAAGAATGCATTTTGGTAGCAATGCTTTGATTTATGATCACATTTAAAATGAGATTTATAACAGTAGGCTCCTTTCCATTTCCAACATTTAAGTTTATATGTTTTAATTTTTATTTTTATTGTTACACATTTGCACTACATAATCTTCAGGGAGGAGTTGGCACACTGACATAACTCCTCCCAGTTCCTTTTCCATCCATTTCCCCCCTCCCTCTCCCTCCATCTCTCGATTCCCCTCTCATTTGATGATGATCTGTCCCTCCATCCTAACTTGGTACTATATTTTTAGCTCAGTGTAGAAGAAAAGAGTCACTTAATAAATAGGCATTCGGATGGGTGGAACCAAAGCTGATTTATCTTTGTATTGTACACACAAATACACATGTGACACTTACAAATTAATCTTTTATGTTCTAGACTTTCTACTATTTTTGGCACTTCCTGCGCATACATGAAATGTCTCTGTTGCTCTTTTGTGATTTAAACAATTATAAGCAAATATAATGCACATTTGAGACAATGATAGTTTTTCTATGGATAACAATAGAAAGGAAGTTTTGTGGGGGTATGTGTGTGGGTGTGTGAAACTTTCAGTGCTTTATCAAAGGAGAGCATCTTTTTGGAAGCAATTTTTACACTCAAGAGGAGCATCACGTTCATCCATTAATTTGGTAATGATCACAATTCAGCAGTGAAGACAGTAAAAGGGAAAAGGAGAAGAAACATGCTGCAACTTACTGAGCTATTTCTCTGACTTTTCACCCACTTAGTAACCAGCAAGGAGCCTACTAGCCTGAATTTCTTCACAGCTCACTCTGCTCTGGGTCACTGTGACTGATGCAAACCACAGGCACAAACCGACATGGCTCACTGACCCCTTCCCTAGATCCCCGTATGTGATCTGCAAGTGGCTGCAATGGTAATGCCACGCATGTATGGGGAGCTTCTGCTGCAAACGCTGCTGAAAGAACTGGAAACCGAAAAAAGGATGCAAAGCAGCAAGACTTCTGTACTCTGACTCCACAGACCCGCTGGCCAGATGGTCTCCTAGCACCGCAGGGCACGCTCATGCAAGCCAGCTCTGGCACAAGGTCTCCGTGGGACCTCAGGATTTCAGTCTCACTGACGTGCATAATAGCACAATGTGAAAGTGTCTGTAGACTTTCAAATCGACTTAGTTTGTCACAGGAAACCTTGTTACGAAATTCCACATTTATCTGGCTTTATTTTTCAAAATTGTGCTTAAGTAGCAATCGAAAGGTAGTAAGTAGATAATTCAGGTGACACACAATGAAAGACCATGAAGAAAGGCCTTGTATCATAGAAAGTTTGGTAGCTGGAGCTAGAAAGGTGTTAAGTACCATCAAAACAGTATTTTATTTTTCTGGTCAAAACAAACAAACAGAACCCTCCAAAACAAAGGAACCTTGGAGCCCAAAGAAGTGAAAGGTTTTGATCCACATACTCAGAACCCTTAGGAGTAGCACCAGTGAGATCGGAACTCAGGACTCATCCCACACCAGGCCTGGGTCTGCCCTACAAAAGACACATCAGTAATGGAAGGAAAATTAAAATTTTGGAGAAGGAAATAGAAGACAATAAAATTTCAGAGGTTGGGATCATGCCGTAGTAGATAATCTTTCATCATGTATATGAAGTTGTCTTATTTAAGTTACAAACTCTTACATAATTTAAATAACATTAAGGGACAATAGAGTGTCCCAACAGTATTTAGAAAATACTTAACATATCAATAATTATAAAAGAATAACTCATATATATTACCTAGTTCATTGTGTCCAAAGCATCTCGTGTCCAATTTTATTTTCAATAATGGTTCAATATTCTGCATGCAGTGCATATCTTTAATGAAACTCTTCCAGTTTGCTACATTTACCTCTTTGCTCTTTCTTTAAAAGAAAATAAAGACATATAAGCATACATAAGAATGCTCAGAAGTGATATATAAACATTAAAAGAAACCTACAGTTTGTATCTAATTTGGTAGCTATTTGTAATAACAATTGATCATGCCCTATTTGCTAAAAAAGATTTCATACACTTAACCTGCTCTTCATTTTGCAAAATTATTATTAATCTAAAGTTCTTTTAAAACACCAATGTAAGTAGATATACCCATATAGAATAAAGACAATTTCCCCAACTCAGCTGAAATATAATTGACAAATAACTTGTGTACACTTAAGGTGTATAATGTGGTGATTTGGTTTAAGTACATGTAAAGTGATTGCTACAGTTGAACTAAGTAACACATCTGCCACCTGCATGATGACATCCTTTTCTTCATGTGTGTGGTGATAATACTTAAAATCAATGAATTGCAAGTATGCAGTGCACTGCTACTAATCATAGTCACCACATTCTCTATTAGATCTCCATAATATATTCATCCCATACACTGACAATTTATACCTTCTGACCCATGCCTCCTTATTTTCCCTGCTCTTCAGCCCCTGGTAATCACCATGTTACTATTTCTATGTGTTTGACTCTTTAAATTACACAGATAACTGACACATGCAGTAGTTCCTTCTGCATCCAGCTTGTGTCACTTAGTTTCCTGTTGCCCAGGTTCATCCCTATCCTTACAAATGGAAAGGCTACCTATAAAAACAGTTTTTGAACATGTTACTATGCTTTCAAGACTTCCAATTACTAAAATTTAGGATGCACCACATTTTCTATGTCCCTTTATGTCCTGTGTCTCTAAAGGGTTGCATCTTCATAATTTAAAATAATAATGAAACTTGGAAATGTTCAGGCCATACACTCTGATACTATTTCTTTAAGAACTTCCAGATAACTTTGTTTCATAGGGTAGCAATGTTGTTTCTACTTATATAAAAACTTCAAAACAAATCTGCTGTTATACCTACAACAGTTATAGGCTTCCTCCTCTGGAAGGTGTAGAACAGAACAGAGCAGATGCTCAGAATTTCACAGGAGAAAGAAAGTGTTCATATAGCAACCAAACTATAAAAAGACAGCTAAAAACCCTTTCACAGAATTCTGTTTCACTGAGAAACTAGCTATTTGGGTGGTATTAAGAAAGTCATTCCATGTTGTATATTTTTTAAAAATGATTGGAGTAATTACTTCCTTCTTTCTCTTCCAAGCTAAACTACAACATACAGAATTTCCTATTTTAGTACATGTATGTCCAGTGTGCTTGTGTATCCGTGAGTTCCACATTTGTACATTCATCTGTGGACTGCAAATACTCAAAGAAAATCTGTATTGAACAGGTGTAGACTTTTTCTTGTCATTATTTTCTAAAAAGTATGACAATGCATATAGAATTTACATTTCACTAGGTATTATAAGTAATCTAGAGATCAGTGAAAATATTCAGGAGAATGTGCGTAGTGTATATGCAAACACTGTGCCATTTTATGAGTGGGATTTAAGTATTATGGGTTTTTATTTCCTCAAGGGTCTTGGAACTGATTCCCCACAGGTTTCACAGAACAACTTTAATGCTGCAGTTAAACAAGGAGTAGGTTAATTTAGAAAAACAAATATGGAACTACAGAAATAAAAAAAAAAAAAAAACCCAGCTGGCACCACACTGTCAGGAAACAACTTCTGAGTGGTCTGCTCTCCACAGGAAAGGAGTGTTCTGGACCCTCCCCGGCAGTTGTAATTCATGGCGCTCCATTCCGTGGGCGGAGCAAGTGTTGCTCCACTGTGGCCTTCATGCAACAACAGTCTGTCCTGTTTCTTCTTCCTCAGCTTTCTTTCGCTATGTAATTTCACAAAAAGGGCACATGCGTGTCAGTGGAATCAAACCTCACAAGTTTATTGTGCTCCATCTATTCTCACAAACAGAGCCTTCACATTCAGTCAGTAATTCTCCCTGAATTTCCAACTCTGAAACTGCCCGGTTTTCCTGCTCTTTTCATCCACACCACATTAACACAGCTCAGGGAAGACCCCCACTATTTCTTAAATATAGCAACCAGCACCAGGTGCCCTCTCCGGTGGCTTAGTTACCTTTAAAGGCATTTGTAAGCCTCTGATCGCCTACTGTTGCCAGAGAATTACATTCTTACCTTGCTCATTAAGGGCAAATCTCTGCTTGAAATTCTTACTTTCTTCTTTATAATTAATTTCTTAACTTTCCCTATGCATTATGAGGTTTCTTCAGAATTTCCATCCCTTCCCAGCTTTATTTCTTATTTCCTCTTCTACCTCTCCAACTCTTCAGCCCAATAGGTCTGCTTAAAAGAACTCATCTATGTCATTTTTCCAGTTGCATTTTTGTCTGTTCAGCTTCTTCTGCTTCTTTTCTTTGACTAACTCTATCCAAATTAGTTATTGAGTCTCTAAACACAACTTTGAGTGAGAAACCTGCTTGTAGTCCTAAAACGCTCTATGTTATATTCATCTCTCATCTATCATTAACATTAAATTCTACTTACAAGAATTGCATTTACTTTTACTACTTACTGGTTGATTTTTCTCTTAAAATATTAATTCTTTGAATTTAGAAGCTGAGGGGCTGGGGATTTAGCTCAGTGGCACAGCACCTGCCTGGCAAGCGCAAGATGATGAGTTCGATTCTCAGTACCAGAAAAAAAAAAAAAAAAAAGCTGAATTTAGAAGCTGAAACTTTTCTCCCAATGTTTCTTTAAGTTTCTGAATTCCTAATATTTTGCAATTAATACATAGTATGTATTCAGTAAAGACATTGAATGAATGAGTGAAAATATTGTTCTCTTGAACTCTCTATCACCAGAATATCTATTTTTAAAAGTAAAGCTCACTTTATTAGCTATTTTAAAAGTAAAGCTAAGTTTGTTAATTATTTTGCAACTAACAAAAAGTTACCTCTGCATAGCATTGGCAAAAATCTCAAAGGGGAGTAGAATCACAGTATATCAAGTAGTTTGATTTCAGTTTCAAAATGGGAAAAGTCTGAGTTGCAACAGATCATGAATTATCAAACCACAGATCCTAAAGTAAGCCATGTTAAATAACCTTTTGTTTGATATATGAGGTTTTTCTTTCTTTTTCTGGTGACTAGATAACTGTCTCAAAAGAATGTATTTATGTAAATTAAAAGGAAGAAGCTGCTATTGCTTTACAGAGCTACCTCACTCAAAATCCTATTAGCTATGTCACAGTGATGCTACTGTCACTATTTATAATTCTCTCCCCTTCATCCCAAGGTGCATCTTCCAATTTTAACCGGACTCTTAAATTCTTCCAGGTAAGAGCAGAAACGCCACCACCAAATCTCACCCTTTCCAATGTGAAATTTAGCCTACCCCATAATTTCCATCATATCACAATAGAGAGGACTTCTTCCTCCACAGAGCAGACACAAGTGTCAGGCCACAAAGTCAAGGTCCAAGATCTGCCACCTTTTTTCTGCTTTTCAACATTTTGTCTTTGGTTTTGAGCTACTAATATACTTGTTGACAGGAATTAACTCTTAATCAATTTACAGTCTCACTGTTCTCCTGCCCCTCCCTCAAATTAGGGAATAGCTCTAAGGACTTTTGTGAGTATGAAAGGAAATTCATGTGTTGGTTGTCTTGGGCCCAGCCGTCTTTGGCACTCGCTGGTGTCAAATGAGGTATCTTCAGTCATTAGTCTAAATGACTGGCAGCTGTGTCCCATTCATCTCACCTGTAAAGGCACTTTTGGACTTTCTCACTCTCTGCGCCATCCCGTGCTCAAAACACACTACTTCATTCTCCCCATTGAAGAATGGACAGAAGTTAAGTTGAACCATCTCTGCTGTATCCATGCTCACAGCCAACTGATATTTTCTTAGCTATACAGAAAACCTGGAGTCCTTAAGAAAACATATTATTTTCCAATCCTCCTTATTATTCTTCCAACTGTACTGTTACACTTGCCACACTTTCAGCATACTGTTCTGCAATTTCATCCCTGCTGGTAATGGTTGATGTTTTCACTAAAGCTCCATGTGTGTGAGTCATAAAGGTTTTGAACATGACACACTCACGGCCTAACATGTTAAAATACCACCTCCACAGACCTTTGGCTTATTTGATTCTCTCTGGGAAATCCCCCGCTGCAGCGAGTTTAGGGTCTCCCAAAAGCTCAGCCACTCCACCAATTCTTGTTGTCCCTTCCCTCTCAACCTTGCGGACCTTACCAAGGTTGCCCAGGAACTGAAAGTGTTGCAGCGCCATCAAATTGCACTCCTTTAGTTTTTGTCCCACTGAGTTTACAAATAAAACTTCATAACTTTCAAAAGTTGCAAGTGTTAAGCCCTCAAAATATTGCCTTACTTATAACAAATTATATCTTAGTCATATCTTCAATTTGTGCACCTTCAGTTAGTTTAATTTGAGAAAAAAAAAATAGACATACCTGAAGCTGCCTTGAGATTTTTATGTAAAAGGCAGCTTTGTAAATTAGAGTCCAAAGAGTTTAAGTTTCACGACAACTTTTGTTAACTTGACAAACGTGTTTCCCACATCAGCCCCAAGAACATCAAATGGGAACTTTGCCAAAGTGAAGATTTGGGGCACCTTCTCAGACTCACTGAATCAGTAACTTTCAGTCCCAACAATTTATGTTTTAATAATTCTTATAAATGGATTTGTATGCTTAAATTTAAGAACTATTGAGACCACTTAAATACTCAAAATTGGGCTCTGAGAATTGGTAAAGCAAAAACTATCATAAATCTGTACACAGCATAGCCAACATCACTTGCAGAATTTTCTTCCAGTGCCATTTATCCATCAATTTCCTACCTACGTGCTGGTAAGATGGAGAAAAAACATTTTCAAGCTTTGATTTATAATTTTGCCTTTCCTAGGCTTTTGTGGCTTCTGATTGTCTTTTCTTCAGAAAGAATATTGATTTTGCCAAACCAACCTGATAATATAAGAATAATCTGGACATTTAAAGTCTTTAATTTTGAATCAAAAAAAGAAGTGGCATTTTAACCACCATGCAACAGAATTTCTGACAATGCCAATACAGGGCTTCGCAGAGAATAGTACTCAGTCAACAAACCCTAAGAACGTCTTGAGACAACTGGTACAAATCCTGCTTTCCATACTTCACAAGACATCTGCCCAGTCAAGACTAAAAATGAAGTGAAGCAATATTTATTGTAAAAAATTTCTTATAATTCGCACATTTACTAAACTAAGAGAATGTTAGACTGGAGAGATGGTAAAGAATTTATGTACTTATAGCCTATATACAAAACAATATTTTCAGGCTCATGCAGTGCAAAGATCTATAAGCCAGTTTGTATAGCTGTCTCACACAGAAAGTATTTGCACTTTCATGTAATTAACAATGTATTTTTTATCCTGAGACTTCACTTTTAAAGCATGGTATGCAGTGTCACATTTAAGTTAAGTCAAGTATAAAACAGCATAAAATGTAACTCAGTATTATGAAGATGTAGGAGCTGAAACGACTGTTACTCAGGCTTTAATCGCAGGAGCATAACATACAAACACAGGTGCGTTAAAGACTTGCAAACATATTTGCTTTGATATTCTCAGTGACAACTTCTTTGTCAATTTGTACTTGTGAATGTTAGGGTTAAGTGTTGAGAGCCTTAATTAACTACTCTCAAATTTTAATTAGGAGATAATGATGGAAATACAAACAACAAAAAGATGTAATCTTTCGTGATTTTGAAAGTTGTAGATGTTTGATTTTTGACCTGATAATAGTCAGCCCCATACAAATCTGTATAGGTTATCCTCTTCTGTAAATAAAGTTTTCTCCTACAGTAGTATCATCAAAGCTAGATATATTAGATATATTTCTACATATTTCTAAATATATTAATATAGTTTTAAACCTGTTGTAAAGTACACTCCAAAGTTTGGCAAGGGATCTGAATGTAGGTACATGGATGCACTGGTGCTTTCCAATCATCATGGGTATAACAGTATAAGGCGTGTGGCAACAGTCATATGGCCAGGATCTTCTGAGAAATAAGAATTGTTCTCCCAACACCAGGTACTCGGCTCTTTCTTGCCTACCTATCTGTGTTTTCCATCTGCACTATGAAGTATATTACAAATGAAGTTGTTGACAATCTTGGTATTAAATGTGTTATTTTCTTTTGTTTCTTACTAGCAGTATATGTGCATACTCATGAGTGTGTGCTTATGAGTGTGTGTATAGTATTGCTATCTTTTCTGCCTTACTGTTTTAGCACTTCTGCTGGAAGCAACTACGCTTTATTGCAAGCAACTCTCTTATACGAAAGCTAAATTAAAACTATAAGTAATGTCAGGTATGGAGATGCACACCTACAATCCTAGCAAAAGGCAGAGGCAGGAGAATCATTGTGAGTTCAATGCCAGCCTGGTACAGACAGTGAACTCAAGTCCAGCCTAATGTGTAAATTGAGAACCTGTCTCAAAATAAGTAAAGAACTCTATGTTAAGGTACAACAATCCTTGCCTAGAAATGCAAAGCACATCAGTGACTTTCTTCACAGCTTTTTTTGTGAGTAGCACAATTCTAAGGTTTTATGGTTCCATTTTAATCACAAAAAGGCTTTTACTAGTTTACTGACCCCTCTGTAAACACCAGAGACTTGTGAGTAGTTAGTATAACCAGAGTGTACTTGGAGTAGTCTGACCTAGGTCCTGAGCTTCTATGGACCAGGCGTATGGCACTGCTGTAACTGGTGTTCACATGACAGCATTTCACACATAAATGATTCTTATACTCAGTGAATTTTGAAAACAACCAAGAGCGATTTTAAGGCAGGTCTTCGAAGTATATCTTCCAGATCACATACATGTGCTTTGGTAGATTTAGTAAACTTGACGTTTATTCTGTTTTATTTTGTTTTTCTCCTACTTGTACTCAAAGAGATTTGGCCACAGAATAGCAACTCTGAGTCTAAAAACCTGTCTTCAAGTCCAAAAATGGAATTAGAGAATAAGAGGAGGCCAAAAGAGGATTTCATTATGTGTGTAGTACCAGCCTCATAAATGATAGCCATATAATTCAGTTCCTTCTGAGAAAAAATGAGATAACCAAATGGAACCTGCAAACTGGAACTGATCAGAAATAAAAGGATTATCATGACTACCAATAATGTATCGGGAAATGTATATTATAAAGGTGGAGATACATTATTTAATGCTCTCCAAACTTCAGCATTTTCAGATTTAAACCAAAAATAGCATACTTAATCTCACAGAATTGTCAAGACAAAGTTTACCCTGAGGTATTACTACATTCTATGTGAGTTATCCATCAATAGCACACTAGAAGTACAGATTGCAGGGATAATGTCTTTCTCATCCATAAATCTTCCAGCTATTGCTATTCATGCACATTGTTCCAAGGAAGAAAAGATAGAGAAGGATGTAAAAGTTGGACAGACTCAAAAAGAATTTATTTTGGCATATTTTATGCATTCCATGTCAAATCAAGATAAAGCAAAATCTCAGAATAATGGTCGTTTCACTGTAATTTTCTCCATTTTCACATTTGGTCAGGGAAACTGTTCATAATACAAAAAGTAATTGTAATTCAAAAAGCAGTGAGTGACAACCCATTGTACTTCTTCCAGAAACTCACTGTGGGCCATTTATCATGATGACTAGAAGTTCCAGGTACTTTCAGAATCTATAACACTTGTATGAGCCTTCGTCCAGAATTTGAGTTCATTTCACCATTTAATACCACTAAAATGTCACTGAACAAAAGGAAACACTATGTCTAACTATAGCATGAAAAGCATGAAAATGATAAATGTTTCCATAGCTACGGCTTTGAAAGAAGAACATTCTGAGATATAAATCAGTACAAAGGTGGCAGAAAGGTGCATTGGGCATCCTTCATTTTTTCTCTAAAAGGAGAAAGGTTATATTACAGATGACTGTAATGTTGTCACAACACCATTTGCTCTCCCAGAGGATTCAAGAAAGTATATAAATGGTAGATACGTGGGTGGAGGCAAACATAGACTACAACATCCCTTAAAATCATATATGCACCAATAAAATACTCAATAAAGACAAAAAATATCCCTTGACAAGATGGAGACCACCAAGAGGAGAAGTAGAGTCTCACCCATGAATCTTGACTTGCCATACTTTGAGATCTCTGTGGTATGGGACATAAATAATAGGCACAACCTCTTAGTAGCGAATACGAAGTCATTTTTGTCTCTGCCAAGAATCTGCTTTCTTCTTAGCTCTGGCTGACTGAGAGCTCAACAAGTCTGAAAGTTAGGGACGGGCTTCCTCCGTGCTGGGTCTGTGCTGTGGCGGCTCCCGCAGCCGCTAACCATAACGACAGATTTGGGCGGACTGTGGGGACGCACTGTGAGCTCGCGCAAGAAGTGATGGCGTTCCAGAAACTCTATATGTCCTTCTGTATAACGTCACCAGTATATGCTATGTTAGTTTCTCTTTGAGATCTTTTAGGGTTTCTTTTGCTTTTGATAGAATTAAGACAAGTTTTGGATTATGATTTGTACCTTTTTAACTTTTTTAACTATCTAAAACTTTTTACACTTTTTAAGGTTAGGAATATTGATGGGTTTGTAAGGAAAGAAGGCACGTTTATGCTGTCCTAGGCTGCTGATTTTGTATTTGTTTCTTTATTTCCCTTTTCTCTCACCAACATGAACCGTCTGAAGAAAGTCTGCACAATAAAAATGATAGAACAAAGAAATGATAGCTGCAACATTAGTATATTTTAAGACATACAGTGATATAGTACAACTACAAAACTGCTACAGGGAATTAGGAAACTTAAAAATGCTTATAAAAATCAAATTTAAAGTTTATAAATGAAAAGTAAACTGCTAGTGTCAAATCTGAGTCAAACATCTTCATGTGTAACCACATTATAAATTTGATATTTAGAGAAATTTTTCTTATTTGACAAAAACAAAAATGTCTGAGTGACATTAGTAATGTGAAAAAAAAATCTGAGGCACTAGGATCATAAATTCATGCCCACTTTATTTTTCTCTTTACCTCATTAAATTCATGCCCAATTTAATGAGTAAAGAGAACCTAAAAGAATATTCTGATGGTGCCCATCATGTCAGGTCCTTGGGTTCAGTGCCAATACCACACACCAAAAAAAAAAAAAGGAATAGTTGAACGATTTGTGTATAAAGAACACAACGCAAAGCCAAAATTTCAGTTACTCAAATCCTTAAGCATTAGCAAACACCAGAGTTGGAATTTGATTTAATAATCAATATTTCCTGAAAACATGGGTTTTAACTAACTCCTCAAATCTACTGAATAAAACTCAAAGTCTGTTAAAACAGATGAAAAGAAACTGGAAATGAGTGAAACAAACCTAGAATGTCCAAACCACCACTAACTCTGGTGAATTCACATAACACAGAATGTCTCCTTCAGGGATCACACACTTGCATGTTTCATTGGAGTCATTGAGGAAAAGGAAAAGATTGAGACTTACAATTTGTACATATTTATGGAGAATTGTGATGTTTTGAAATTTTTATACCTTCTGTGATGCTTAAATAAGAGTAAGCATATTAAAATCACCTACTAAGCTTTTTAAATCACAAATACATACCCTATAGGATTTGGTAAGACAAAACTAAAAATATAAGGTGATATGATAAATGAGTAGAAAAAGTGAATTTTCTCTAGTGTTATACATTTTAGACACAGGCCTCAAATATTTCTTTCAGTGTTCCAATAGAAACATGAAAACTCACACACACACAGACACACACACACTAAAAGTAGACCGTTATAGTAAGAATCAAAAAGTACAAACAAATGTATTCAGACTGAAAATAGCTAAATTTTCTGATAAACAGGTATATTAACAACATGTAAAATATATATTCTTGAGTCTATAAAAATATTAAATTGATGTTGCTAGACAAAAAAATTATTAATACTTTTTAAAAATTCAAGTAGAATTTCTAGATGTATGCAATATGATAACTAACAATTCATTATGTACATTAAAAGAAGGTTAAAAAGATAAGTCTGAAAAACTCTGAACACCTAGAACACAGCTTCTCAGAAAGAAGACCAGGTAGAGGCTGTGTAGGAGCTTGTGAAAGGCTTGCCACAAGCCATGGTCTCATGGGGATGCACAACCAGTATCAGAAAGAGAAACTAGATGTCTAGAAGGAAGGTAATATTTGGAAATATGATGTAACCATTTAATAGAATGAGTAAAAGAAAAAAGCCCACCTGATTTTGATTAATAAAGAACTAAAAAAGGGATCATCATTCCCAGACAGATAACAGAGAATTTTCTTAAAAATCAGTAAGAAAATAATTACAAATGAATCAGAATTATTCCATCAGCTGTCTTTTCAGCAGAAATGATGGGTATCAGAGTAAGAGGATTAATGTCTTCAGAATGCTAAAGAAAAATAGGTGTTAACTAGAAGTGCATACCCAACAAAATTATATTTCAAAAGCTTAAAGTAAGATACATGAAAAATATTTACCCAAAACCAGCTTCCATTAAGAGGATTTTAATCCCTTTAATTTTGTACACACGTGCAGTACATCATATTTACAATCCTTCTCTGGAGTTGGTACAAGTACATAACACATCCCAGTTCCTTTTTCACCCCTACCTTCCCTCTCTCCAACTCTCGATCCCCTTCCCCTTTGAGAAGGACCTAACACCCTATTTCATATTTTCTGTCTTTTATTTCACTCTTTAGTTTTACTCTGGGTTTCTCATGTAAGAGAAATAATGGGATATTTGCGCATTTGGTTTATTTCACTTAGCATTATATCCTGAAGGTACAATCATTTTCCCACAAATGACTGAAATTTGTCTCACATTATGGCAGAGTAGTACTCTGTGGAGTATAAATATATTTTCTTCATTCCTTCACCTGTTGATAGGCATCTGGGCCATGTCCATTATATATATATATATATATATATATATATATCAGTGAATGGGAAGGAGGGAAGGGAAAAGTGATGAGAAGGATTTAAGGTGAGTTATGAGCATGTCCCAAATCTCCATAAGAAATGGAAGTATTGTGTACTACACATATGAACTAATAAACTAAAATTTAAAAGAAAGGACTTATTTGTAGTAGAATGAAAGAAAATGATCTCCCATAAGAAGAAAATAAATGTGAAATCTATAAAAGAATAACTATTTTTGGTGAAGCTTAAAATTGGGGCAGAATCAATGGTTTGATACAAGATGAAGTATTCTAAAGTCCCTGTATTATTTACGCATGTGAGTAGATTAAGGTGATGATTGACTTAGAGTTTGTTCTTTCCAAGGCAGACATTAAGGAAATAAAAATAAATTCACAGCTTCAAAAACAATAGAAAGAGAATAAATGGAAATGGTAAACAAACATAAATTTAAAGCATAACAGTAAATTTAGAGAAGATCTGAAAATTAATGTCAAAAATGGCCTACAAAGTACAAAGTAAGATAATGAAAAACACCAGCACATTAATAATCATATTATTGTTGTTGTTGTTATAAGAAAATACCAAACTGTCCTTTCAATCCAGCATAGTCTTTGCAGGCATCATTTATATAGTACAAAGTTATACAAAATTGAAAGAAAAAACACAGAAATTCTGTATATATTTTTTCAAAGTCTCACCAAAATAAAATTAGTGTGAATTATATTAATAGCAAATAAAATTAACATTATGAAAAAATGTATATCATGAATAAATATATAATGTTACTGTGATGATGAAAGCCTTAATTCACCAAGAAAATCAAAACAGCTCTGGTCTCACCCATTGCTGCCATTGCCACGAAATTTCTTGGACCTGGAAACCTTGGTGAGCTGTTTGTGTGACTGAGTCCTCTGGCCCCAACCCCCTCACCATGTTGGGGAGGTTTCTTGGACAGGGATGGCTTGGTGAGCAGTCTGCGTGTCCTGATACTCTGGCTCCACACCTTTTCACCATCTCAGGACCAAACTGGAATCACTAGAAACCTAAGGAGATTTGAAAATGACAAAAAAAAGAAGCAACATACAATATCAGGCAAACACCTCACCCAGAAGAAGTCTAGGAAGCATCAACATAGAAGAACATGGAAATCACATACCTGAAATTTTGGAAATCATAGCAACTGAAGTAAAGAACCAACTACATCATGCTATAAAGGAAATCAGGTCAGAAATAATTGCTCAGGTAAAAAAAGAAATGACAACCATAATGAAAGAATTGCTCAGCATATTAAAAGAAGATATAGATCAAAAAAAAGAGCACAGAAAAATGGTGGAAGTCTTGAATGAACAATATAAGAAAATATTACAATGCATGAAACAGATTCAAAGAGACATTTGGGAAATTAAAATTCCATTGAAAACTGGAAGAACAGCTTAAGTGAAATGGAAGACAGACTTTCAGACCTTGAAGACAGCATTGTAGCTAGTGATCCTAAAAGAAAAGTTCTCTTAAAAATAATAAAGGAACAGCAAATAACAATTCAACAACTGAAAGATGAGGCAAAGAAAAACAATATTAGGCTGATAGGTGTCAACAAAAGAGTAGGAGGCAACATGTATGACATAAAAAGACTATTTGCAGAATTAATAGCAGAAAATTTCCCAAGCATGGGATAAGAAGCTTATATATACATAAGTGAGGTATATAATTAGCCATAACAACAATAAATCTACACCCAGACACATAATAGTCAAGATCCCAGAAATTCAGCAAAACAACAGAATATTAAAAGCTGTTAGAGAAAAGAGACAGATCACCTATGAAGGAAAACCCATCAGAATCACAGCAGACTTCTCAACACAGACCATCAAGTCAAGAAGAGCTTGGAATGAAGTATTTCAGGTCCTGAGATAAAACAACTTCCAACCCAGGTTACTCTACCCTGCAGAGGTATCTTTCAAAATTGAGGGAAAAATAAGATACTTCCATGACAAAGACCAACTGAAGAAATTCATAACTACCAAACCAATCCTACAATGAATACTTAAAGATTCTACAAAGAGATAAAAATGACCACAATCTCAAGACCAACAATAGAAAAGAAGTACTAATCAATGTAAGCAATTAAGCAGAGGGTGAAAGTACAGAACCAACAGTGGGAAAATAACATGACAAGAATAAGTCAATATATATCAGTAATAACCATTAATGTAAATGGTCTCAATTTACCAAACAAAAGAAACAGACTGGCAG